GTGAGGACAGTATCATCAAGAACGGTGGAAGAGGGGCACGAATGATTGGAAACTGTATGTTGACCAAAGATGAGATCATTCATATACTTGTTGGTCAAGAAGGGAAAAAAGGGAAGAAAAACTTAAAAACTGCTGCAGGTGGTGGAGGTACATTTGTTGTGAGACGAAACAACACGCCTTTAATCATAGCTGGAGGTGGAGGGGGAATCAAAAATATGTCAGAACAACATCCGGCATGTGATGCGTCCATAAACACCACAGGGAATGCAGGGAACAACTCGCCACTGGGATCAGGGGGAAGAGAAGGACAAGGAGGACTTACTAATGGTGTGAATTCTGGTTGGTGGAGAATTTGCTTTTTATAAATACTGAGAAACTCGTTGCATTCTACTGCCATGCTTCACTCTCTCTAACTTAATGATAGAGTTAGTCGCTTATTTGAAGGATGTATAAAAACCGTAATTGTCAAAATTCTCAATGTTAATTTTAGTTATTAATTAAGATTTTCTTTGATGATTCCTTTGGAAGTGCCTCCTACAAGACTTAAGATTCTGTTAAATTTTGCTTTTTTCTTTTCAAATTTCCTGCATATTTATTTAATTACCGACTTTTTTATTACTAAGAATCTCCATTTATTAAACTCCAAATATCAAGAACTAAAGTACATTTCGGAACACTGCGGATCGCCGTTTGATCGCAAGAAATTAAATTTGTGGGTGCTATTTGTAAGAGAATCACTGATCACTTTTTGATTGTACTGTAGGTGGCGGTGGTGGCGGCTTCCATAATAATGGAAGTGATGCAACGAACTCTGGTAAAGTAGAGGGAGAAGGAGGTTCAGGATATCTTCAGGGGGGAGAGGGTGGAGGGTTTGTTGGTGGGTTCGGAGGTGGCGGTGGTTTACATTTTTCCAACAAGGGACCGGGCGGTGGTGGTGGTTACACTGGGGGAAGTGGCGGGGCTAATGATGATATTTCCTGTGGGGGAGGGGGAGGATCTTTTAACAATGGAACAAATCAACAAAATGAATGTTGCTATAATAGCGCTGGTCATGGTTGGGTAAATATTACATTTCTCCGATGAAGAGCACATAGCAGCTGTTGTTAACGTGCATAAAAAAAGTTGTCGGTCAGTTTTTAATATTCTTGTGCATTTCAATCATCCTATTTCTTCGAATAAGCACCCGGGCTCTTATTCAAAATTTAAGCTTTAAGGGGGAAGGGGGGGCGCTTACTAAGAAACTATTCTAGCTGAAGCTCATAAAGTTATATAT